TGTGTGTGTGTGTGCATATGTGGGTGATATGGATTAACTGGTGATGTCATTCTTGGTTGAAGGTTTAGTAAGTTTGTCATCTGATGGAAAGAATGTTAGACATTCTGCGGGTCCAAATATTTGTTTTATGCATAAATCAACTTGACGCTCCAAGCTTGCAGGTAGATGCTTGTAAGTTAGAGAAGGAATATAAACTTTTTTCTCGGATATGTTATTAGCGTTTATTAAACCTCATTTTTCCAGATTTTCCATTGTAAGTCCTTTACTACTTGAACCCTGGATAGATGTATTTACTTATGTGTTTGGTATTTAATTTCTTCTCCAGCTGCTGCTATGCTTCTAGTGAATTTATCCGTTTTGTGATTCTCAGATGCATAGTTTAGGATTTGTTGATCCTGATGATATGAATATTACGTCTGGGAAAAGAAATTTTTCGAGTATGGTGGGCTATTCAAACAGCAAACTGGCTCAGGTGCACCCAAGTTTTGCTCTAACTTTCATTTTCAGTGTAACTTGTTTGTTTATCTTCACGTGGGCCTTAACTTATTCAGATATCTTAATAAACTAAACTCTGTTTGAATAAGTTGAAGTTTTTATTTTTACTTAAGACTTTTTCTTCTTAAATGTTTCCCTTCTTATTAACGCCCTCATGTTCACTGAACACCAGATCATGTTCAGCACTGTCCTTAACAAGAGACTACCAACCGAAGCTGGCATAAATGTAGTTTGTGTTTCTCCTGGAATCGTACACACTAACGTTGTAAGTGTCCAACCTATTTGAAGCAACCACATAATTTTAATTTCTTATACCATCCAGTATTATATAATAATAGTCTGGTCACTTCCTTCAAAATTTATCAGAATTCATGTCCAACTATTTTGATTTCATGAATGCAGGCGAGGGATCTCCCAAAGATTGTTCAAGCTGGTTACGGTTTAATTCCATATTTTATTTTCAGTCCTGAAGAAGGTACACGGACCTTAATTTTTTTACAAACGCAGACACTACTAGCTCAGTCTAATTTAATTTCTTTCTAGAGTGTGTATGATATGAAGATTCTTATATTGCATTTCTGTGGCTATTTGCAGGCTCCAGAAGCACACTATTCGCAGCCACCGATCCCCAACTTGTGGATTACTGTGAGTCTCTAAAAGCGGAAGATTGGCCGGTTTGCGCATTCATTAACCATGATTGCCGGCCAGCAAATCCTTCAGAGGAGGCACACAATCTTGAGACTTCTTATAGAGTATGGGAAAAAACGCTTGAGCTTATTGGCCTACCCTCAAATGCTGTGGAGAGGCTTTTAGAAGGGGGCCAAGTTAAATGCAAATATGGGGCCACCTCAGAGTAGTATCATTATCGGTGACCGATCTTACACTTTTTTTATCGCTTCTCGTTCTCCTTTTTCCCTCAAGTTAGTAGGATCAATCACGGTTTGGGTATTGCACGGTGAACCTGAGATTTTATTGTTGTCTGGGATTGAAGCTGTAACTGTGTAATGTTGGAACTTGGATGGTTCAGTGATTGTATTATTAATAATTTATCATTGATCAACTCTTGTAGGATGAAGCCTTGACAACAGATTCTCTGATGCTTTCTTGTAATAGGATTGTTAGAGATCTGTATATTTACTTTTGCATAAGTGATGCATGATTAATGAGAATTTGATTTATATCTCATTGGGTCACCTGTCTAGGTAAGTTTTTTTTTTTTTTTTACTTATCATTATTATTTCTATGTTTGTCACCAACCAAGACATATAAGTTTAATTAACACTTAGAATTAGTATTCAGGTTATAAACTTTTTTATCCCAAATAGAAGTTTTAACCTCAAAAACAATACAAATTAAAACAACAAGTTGAATAGATCATTTCGTTGGCGACACACAGGAGAAAATGAAATTAAATTCCGAGTCCAGACGAATGTAAACGAGCCCGAGATAGAAAGTAGTGCAAAGTGGCCACCAGCTTGCCCAGCCCTGCCTCCGCGCCGTGCAGCTCCACCGCGCCGCGACAAGGTGATGCGAATGTGGGTTTCGAGGCCCGAGGACGCCGAGAGCTGATGGCCGAGACGACCCGAGAAAGCCGAGGAAAGGGTCAAATTCACGTATGCATGGCCTAAGAGACGGTACGAGCCCGTATACGAGGCGCACGGATACAAAAAGAACGGCACGAGTCGAACCATCAAGGCTGTGCAAAGGAGGTTCGTGATGGGCGCGCGCGAGGAAAACGCGCAATGCGTAGACACGCGATACGCGTGAGCCACGTAGCAAGGCGCGCGAGGGTACACGTGAAGATGCGCATCCATCAACACGAGCGGGTGCGCGAGGTGATCCGACGACAAGGGCGCAGATACGCACATTGGCGTAGACATGCATGGACGAGACCACGCCTCAAACGGACGTACCATCGGAGGTTTCGGGATGCTTATCGAAGGAGTGAAACCTGGTGGGGATGGCTAAAGCACCAGGTGGCTCGAAGAAATGGAAGGCGCGCGAGTCGGGTGCCCAACGGGTGCAGCCCGCGCACATGGGCGCGCTGGCAGCGTGATGCGGATGTGGGGTTTGACCCCCAAAGATGAGAAGGGCCGAAGGCCGATGCTATCCAAGAAGGCCGAGCAAAGGGCTGAAACAAGGCTTGCATGGCCTAGGAGACGTGCACGAGCCCGTATACGAGGGTGCCGACGTGCGCCATGGCTTAGGAGGTCGGCGTTAGCATGGCCGAATGCGAGAAGATCAAAGGTACAGCGGATCAACGTGCAAGTGGGTCCAACACGAGAATCGCACTATGGGTCGAGCACATGCAAGGTGCGAGATGCGAGATACAAGGATCTGCATGGAAGCTCGGAAAGACTCCTGTGTCAAGGGATAACGCGCGACCAAGCGTGCATAGGAGTACGCGGGTTGGACGCGCGATCACTCAAGATAGTCCATGAGGGTAACGCACGGAGGATTGCAAGAGCGTGTGAGGAGATGGTCCCAAGACGGGCAACAAGCAGGCGCAAGGAAGGGCGCGAACACGCGCATTGGCGTAGACATGCACGGACGAGACCACGCCTCAAACGGACATGCCATCGGAGGTTCCGGGATGCTTATAGAAGGAGTGAAACATGGTGGGGATGGCTAAAGCACCAGGTGGCTTGAAGAAATGGAAGGCGCGCGAGTCGGGTGCCCAACGGGTGCAGCCCGCGCACATGGGCGCGCTGGCAGCGCACTGGCGCGCTGGGNGCAGGGAAGCAGCGCCAGCACGGGCACTGGGCAGCACGCGCGCGCGGGCGCAGGCCTGCCAGGGGCAGCGCGCGGGGACAACTTGGCCAGCAAGAAACCGAGGTTTCTAGGAGTCTTTTGAGTTGGAACTTCTCTAGATTATTCTTCCCTACTTGGAGTGCAAGTCAAGGCTCTTCAGGATCCCTTAGTTATTTGGTTTCCTTATTACATTATGATTTCTAGATTGTTTAGGACTTTAATATTTTATTGCTTTAATTAGTGATTTAGTTCCTTAGAACTTTATTTATTTCCAAGCATTAGGAGTTCTTTTTAGATTAGGAATAGACTTAGTTTGGCATCTATAAATATGCCCTATTGTCATTCGAAATTATAATTCAGAAATTAATAGAAAAACCGAACTTTTGTTCAAACACTTTGCCTTAGATATCTTTTCGATTTATTTTGTAATTTTATCGTTTCAAGGGGTGCGGTTGTGCAAACCTCGAGACACCTATCGGCGATTCAAGGCACTGGTTTGTGGCTTATCGGCAATCGGGACACGCGATCTTCATCATTGGTGCTTTCATTGAGAGTATCTAGATCGTGTGTCTTTTCCTACCCCATTCCCCTTCTTTTTCTTCTTCTTTATTTTCGTTCCCCCCTATAAAAAAAAAAAAAAAACGAGTCTGTTGACGGGCGTTTCCGGTCAACGGTTAAAAAGTTAAATAATGGAAAGAAAATAAGGAAAAGACAAGGAAATACGGTTTAATCGCGGTTTTATTAGATGATCACGAGGTCGGCCTCTCGTACGAGGTCGGCACTTGCGATATACTTTGAGGTTTCTTACAAGAGTTTCTTACAGCTCTTTAGAGAGAGAAAATATGAGTACAAGTAGTTAGAATTCAACAACCCAAAATAAATGAAATGGGCTGCTATTTATAGTGGCCTTAAATGTGACACTGTTCAGGTACTGTTCACCGGTCTTGTCGCACAGTGTTCTTCGCAGAGTAGTTCGGCGCCTCCCTGACAGAATTTAATGCGATTTGAGGTTTTCCTCATCATTGTCTGACAGGCATTTAATGCTGGCAGGCTTTATGTCTTAGCTAGTGGAGGTAGGTCAACAGGCTAGGACGTCCCATCCATCAGCCAATGATTACCCTCCAAGTGGCACTATTATACTACTATCGAGATCGGCACCTTCATTGCAGGGACCCGTCCTGAAACTCCAAGTCGGCACCTTTTCTTTGCTTGTTCCTCCGGTCCTGGGGAACCTTTCTTTCAGGCCGTCACTCTTCAGGTCGGCACCGGGGCTTCATAGTCGCAAACGCCGGACTGGCGGACGGACTCATGGGAACGTCTAGGTCAAAAAATATTCCGGTCCAGCTCGGCACTTTCTGAGTGGGCCGGGTCTCCGGTTCGGCTCTCGAACTCGGGTGTCAACATACAGGCCCCCGAGCTCAAAGGGGGTGTCTTCAGCATCCTCTGTGAGGTCGCTTCCCAAAAGCACATCCGAGGTCGGCACTCAGATCATACTTTGGCAAAATTATCTGCCATTTGTTATGTACAACTTTCCCAGACCCGAAACGACGGGTCATTTAATGTGTCATGACCGTTACGCTTCCTGCCGATTATGAAAAGTCGCGTTGGTTCAGAGCCTTTACACGTGTCATCCCTTCATTCGTCCTTGTCAAACGGCCTGTCGTTTCGGCGAAACGGCAGTTTCTGGGGCGCGTGGCATCTACGCGACTATCCATGGACCGTCGGATTGTGTTCGTCCCAGCCGTTAGATCGAGCGTTTATTTCGAATTTCTAACGTTATGCCACGTGTGAGGTTGTGAGTGGACCACCGCGTATATATATATCCATCGCCTTCTTCCTTGATGAGTTTTTACCTTCACGATTTCTGAGCAACCAAATCTTCAAGCAGCCATACTTCCGAGCAGATTTTCAGAGCGATTTTCGACACTTTCTGCGACCTTCCATCGATCTTCACGCCGGTAATTCCGTTTATCCGAAATCTTTTCTCTTATTTTCTTTCGGTTATGTCGAATCTATCTGAACACGCGACGAACCTCTCCGCCGGAGATGGCGGTTTCACGGTGGAGGAGACCGGGGAGTTGGTGGTCTACTCCCCCCCGACGACTGGGACGGAGCAGCCGCTCCGAGTTACCCCAATTTCTGCCGTCCGTGTGACGCCGGTGGCGGCGGCGACGGGGCCGCTTCGCGGGGAATGTTCAGTCTTCCCCACGATCGAGATAATTGACCTCGGGTCAGGCCAGTCCGACGCCGACGAGGGCGAGAAGAAGTCCGGCTCCGCCTCTCCCGTCGAATCTGACGTGGACGCCGAACTAGTCGAAGAGACTCTTCGGGGCGACACTCGTGGACGAGAGCGGGTCCCCATGGGTCGTGAGGACATCGAGACCGACGCTGCGGTTGAGGCTGCCACCTCGGCTCCTCCAGGGTGTTGGTGCCGCCCTCCGCGTGTGTGGCCCTCCACCGCCTCGGCTACTGCCTGGACAACCCCCTCAGTGCTGACGGACCTCGATCTGGCCAAGTTGAGGGGCAAGGCCTGCTTTGGCGCCGGGGTGAGGATTTTCGCCCCTTACGCAGTCGAGCGTATACACTGCCCTCCGCCGGGTTGCATCGGCGTCTATCGGTCGAGCATCCTACTCGGCCTCAGATTTCCGTTGCCGGGGGCCTTGAACGACATCCTATGCGACCTCGGCATAGGCATAAGTCAGCTCGTGCGACTGTTTTCGCTCGGCTTGTCGGCCTCATCGTCCTGTTTCGACGACAAGGATGGACGGATCCGACGAGTGCCGACGTCGGGTCCTTGTTTGTTTTCAAGAAATCCGGGGAGACCGGCAACTATTACAGCTCGGTCGCCCCGGGCGTGGACTTTGAGTTCGTTAGTACTGTACGGGCTGTACGCAGCGGAATTTAAAATTTTTAAAGTAAGTATTTATCGTATAAATACAACACCCGTACATACTAATTGCGAATTAACAGATCGTCATCTTTAAAATATGCATCATATACAAATTTTGATTTATTATAATAAAGTAAATACTAATACGAAATATTTACCGAGTGTCTTGAACTCCTTCAACAAAGATGTGGATTGTGGGAATCGGTTCCCGGTTGTAACTTCAACGGCTTG